AACCGAGCGAGGAAGTTCCTCAGTCCTTCTCCCAGAGATTGTTTGACAACAAATATGTCGTTCACTCTTGCCTCGACCTTTTTGGCTCCGGCGTGGGCCGTTACAAACTTGTCGGCCATTTCTTCAAAGGTTTCAATGGAGCGTGCTGGTATCTGGGAATACCGGGTTAATGCCTCTTTTGTAATGGTTTCGCCGAACTTCTTCAGCAAAATGGAAGACACATATTCCTTAGCGAGGTTGTTGCCTTTTACGGCGGTGACGTAATGAGTCACATGATCTTCGGGGTCGGTTGTGCCATCATATATCATGAGGTAAGGCGGTATTTTAAAGGTTTTTGGTATAGCATGCAGAGCTGCGTCGTCGCTGTATGGCTGTTCGACAAACCGGCCGGCGTCCCTCTTCAGCAACAGCTTGGGAGCGCCCAGTATTTTATCGACCCTTTCCTGGTATTATTTCATTTGATCTCGTAGTGCCTTATTCTCATTCTTCATTTCCTCCATCCTTTTCAGAATGGCTGCAAGGGTGTTATCACCTGCACTATTAAGGATATTGTGAGTAATACCTGTCGTTGGATGAGGAGGGAGTTGGTTGCACTGCTCGTCTGTTGGTTGTATAGTTCAAGTCCTTGCATTTTTTGTAGTCATGTCACGGGCGGGCTTGTTGAGGACGTTGGTTAGCGTGTCAGTTAGCCATGCTCCAAGGAGCTTTTTTATAGTTGGGGGCGTCTCTTCCCCCACAGATATGGAGGCTCCCTTACCAAGAGATTTTGTGATACTGCAGTGAGGGGGGGACCCATCTCGCCTAGGGGAGGCACTACGCGTCACGCCTTCGTCTGTCGTTTCACAGCTTTCGTTGATGACGTTCATGAGGTTGGTTGGGAGATCACTTATTGTTCTTGTCCTTTCTTCTCGGTTACCTGTCATGTTGGGAATTGTGCACACAAAGAAAGGAGATCTTGTTTTTGCTTGCTCTTTTTTTGTTTTTTTATGTTAGTGACCCGTGCTAGTTATAGATCTAGAAGAAACTAAAAGCTTAACTAAGAAATCCCGATAGACGATGCCAAATTATTTGACAAAAAAATATAGCTCTTGGTTCAAATAATTAAATTTATGTGATTATGGATTAAACCTAGTTAATAATAATATTCCTAGATGTGACTTCCGAAAGCATGACAAGTGTTAAATAGATCTGGTAGAAAAGTGTAAATAATATGCAATAACTATTCCAAAAGACGTGAGCAATAATGTAGCATTTAACAACAATGAATAATAATAAATGACATTTAAGTAAATATGAGGAGTGATTCACCCAATAAAGGATGAACAAGATGGTTGTTCCTCCTTACAATGATGAGTGACAGATAAATTCTTGAATGTTCAAATTATTTTTGGATCTGATGGCAAAGTATGGAATAATATATACAAGAATCTTAGTGAAAAGGTAGTGTTTGTATCTTAGTAAGAGAGAGAATCTTTTGTCAAAGTCCCTTTTTACAAATGAATATCACCCCTTCATATCATTGTCTCTTTTTCTATTTATATGAGATGTATTTCTAGTAAACCCTAATAGTACCAGGGAAGAGAATATCCACTAGAATATTACCTTTAATATCCTATTTTGAAAACTAGCCGTTACAGCTTCATTAACGGTGCTCGACCTCGACCATTATTGACATCTTGACCACGACTCTCGTCGGCTCTTCGGCTATGAGTCTTGCTGCTTCCTGGTCCACCTCAACTAACGACGGCTCGAGAATTCTTTCTTTAGTGCTATCTTATCTTAAATATTTTAGGGCACATTTTGACTCATACAGAAACCTCTACCAAATATAATTTGAGAAGAAAGAAATTAAAGGGCCTAATATAGGCTAAAAAATCAAGGGATGTTTACCTTCCTATACACTATTTGAAACTTTACTACCCTCCCTACTCAAGTTTCAATTTAATTACATAAGCATATACAATTTACCAATTATATACACTTTAGGAATTAAATGAGTATCCCTTTATATTAGGAACTGAATAAGGAATCAATTATTTTCCATCCTTATTCTCTCTCCCTCCTGCGCTCTCTCTCTCTCTCTCTCTCTCTCTCTCTCTCTCTCTCTCTCTGTATGTGTGTCTCTGTCTCTCAATCTCTCATTCTCTGTTCTTTCCTCAATTTTTCTTCCTCTAATGTCCTCTATTTTTTTATCCTTTCACGTTCTATATACTTTTAATGGAATTCATCAATGGGTTTCAATCATTTTACTATAGAGTTTTAACTTAGCAATTTCCTTTCATGTTGCACAATTGGTGTTCAAATTGAAATTTTCAATCAATAAATTTTGAAGGTGTTTGATTCTCCATCATTGACAGCCATTAAAAAGCTTTGAAGCTTTGAATTCAAATTTAGATTTTCAAAAATCATTATTTGTTTGGATTGGGTGTTGTTGCAAATAATTGGGAATATTGTTTGGAGTTTATATCTCAATTTTGAGGGTGTTTGGTGAAGATTAGACTTGATTTTGGCTGAATTTCATATTGAAACTCGAAGAAGAAGATATGACATACAATATACTTACGAAATTGTAGTAAAGTTGTAGTATAATTGTATGTAAATTGTAGTTGTAGTTATACTATATTTTTTTATTTGAATGTTGTATGAAAGTTGAACAACAGTTGTATAATGTATGAATCGTTGTATAAAATTTGTATCTAAGTTATCAATACAATATTTTACATAAAATTATTGATATGTATCAAAATTGTATTAAGAGAGTATGTTTTGATTGGAATTTTAGAGAAGAAGAAACACACACCATAGATAAAATTATATACAAATCAGATACAAAATATATACAAAGGCATATTGTATAAAAATTATATTTAAATTATATGATATTGTAGTTGTATATAACTGGGTAGAAATAATGTATGAAAGTTGTAGATAAGTTGTATAATATATAATTAGTTGTATGAATTTTATTTTTACTATGTATAAATCAGATACAAAATATACAAAAGACATATTGTATAAAATTTATATAAAAATTGTATTTAAATTGTATGATATTGTAGTTGTATTTAACTAGGTAGAAATAATGTATGAAAGTTGAAAATAAGTTGTAAATAACTAATTTCCAACTTAATTCTCTCATTCTTTCTCTTACTTCTTATGGTATAGGAATCCTCTTTGCTGCTGCTTCTACAACAATGATTTTTTTTTTCAAGCTTTGGGAAGAGGCTAGGCTGAATGTATTTAATCATGTCATTAAAAATGATCAAACTCTCTCAATTATTTTTGCCTTTTAGCCTGAAAAACACACAGTTCTTCTACCAATTAATGCATTACCCTTTCTATCTCCCCTTGGTTGGAATTTCCCTCCATATATTTATATTTCTCTTCTGTTATTTCCCTTCCAGATCCTTCATCCTTATTAAAACTAAATACACTCTTCTTCCTTCTTTGCAAACAATGTTAGGTGAAGATAGTAGCAGCATAAGCGGAAAAGCAAAGGCGCCTACTCATTTACTAACTTTCATCGTCGTTTCCAACATTCATGTGGTTGAGTAGAATTGTAGAGTCGCCTTACAAGAATTGGAGAAAAACGACCCTACACTTCTCTCAACTACACGAATATCAGAAACGCTTGTCGTTAATGGTCCGTTTTTACTCCTAGTAGTATTTTTGTGTCTGTATGTCTCTGTTTTATGAATGACTAAATATATAGGTCTTTGTGTATGTGTGTGTTCCCCCTAGAATGTATGTGTGTTTACTCAATTTCCATTATCTTTATGATTCAATATATTATCTACTCTATGTATCTGTGCTTATATAGAGAACACACAGTTTGTTGAATCACAAAGATAATGGAAATTGAAAAAAAAATTCAAGGAAAAGAAAACATGCAAACGCACATGAAATAGTATCAATTAAGTAGTAACCAATAAAATTTCATACTTTAAATATCCAATAAAATAGGCTCCGTGAAATCAAAGGAAAGATGACATTCAAAGCTCAAATCTTAATTTCACCTGAAGATCCATCTATTCTCATATTTTATGTTAGAGACTTTATAATACAGTTTTTTAAGGATAAAAAAAAAGAAGAAGACAGAAACAATTAGCAAACAGAGATCCGGAGAGAAGAGGGGAGAGAGGAGAGAAAAAAGGAAAATTTTATAATTAAATCCCTTGATTGAAGGGACTAATAATGGACTGGGAGCCTTTTAAGGTGGATTGTATATATTTTGTAGTTAAAACGTGTTTAGGCCGGATAAATACAAAAACTTGAACATTTTTCGTAATAAGGTTTCAAATAGTGTATAAGAACGAATTAAATACCAAAAATCAGACTCGGCTCCGATCCCTAAAATAAGAAAGAGAATTCAGATGTATGTTTAACTAAAAAAATACCAATGATATAAGTTGATCACTACTATGACGTCAATGACATACTTTTTTTGGCTAATATTTAATTGATAATTCTAGTGTCGTTGAAACCTAATATTCTAGTTATAATCGTGGTTAAAAATTATTTTGATACTAGGTTTCTTATAACTCTTTGAGAAAACATGTGAATAAGGTACATACCTAGTGGATTTTTCTCTAAATAGGTATAAATTTCAATATTTTTTAAAATGGATATTTTCGGGTAATTATTTTTAGTCACATGAGCATTCCCATTAATTTTCCCTAAATTACATTCCGTTGCAATAATTGATATTATAAAATAAAAATTACAGAAAATAAAATAAATATATTTAAAAAGTTAGGTAATTAAAATCGAAATTGGAGATGATATTACAAGATAGAATAAAATGAAAGAAGTTTATTTAATTTTGACAACAAAATTTAAGAAAAATACAAATGGAGGGCTAAACGGAGCGAGACGGGTTGTAACTGGAGTAGAGTTAAACAGGACAAAGTAGTCTCCTCTCTCTCTCTCTCTCGACCACGACGGCCGTTCCCACGCTGCTTACCAGCCGTCGCCGGTTTACGACTGGTTATCANTTTCTAATTTAGTTTAGCTCTATGGTAATAATTCTGTGTTGATTTTTCAATGTGTGCTTTGGTTGTGTAATACTGATAATTTAACATGGAGAAAAACGAAAGGCAAAAACAATAGGCCAAATAACTAGCTTTTGAGGGTCGTACTGTTAACTATCTGTCTTTAGTTTGATTACTTTGATTTTAGATTGTTAGTTTAATTGTTCTAAATGTAACTGAATGTTGGAGAATTAGATTAATTTCCTGAAAGTATTAGTTTGATTATTTAAATGTCTGTTTTTTTGTTTGTTCATTGTTATCTGTATAAATTATGCGATCCTGAATTAACTTAAGTCAGGTTTAATTTTTAACCATCGTAATATTTGATTTCAATTGCCTCTTTAATCCAAGTTAGTCTACCTTAATGAACCTTTGAGTTAAGATGAGTCTGTTAGACAACTTGATAGTTAACATCTCACAGATTCTGTAAAAGTAATTTTCCGTCTGCCCTGCATCTTAATTGTTAGGAAGTGTATTGTCTCCTCCTAAATTCTTGTTGTATCGCTGCTCCTTATCCCATCTTCTGTTATTAATTCCGACTTCTAGAGCTGAAGTCCATCAGTGTTTCGCAAAATGGAGAATAAAACAACTAAAGATTCTGAATCCATCAAACCAGATCGGAGGGGTGACAGTAGCAAAAAGGGTGAAAGGGGCTTGCAGATTGAAGGATACTCGTTAGAAGGAATATCAATAGCAGGTCATGAGACATGCATAATAGTCCCCTCGCTTAACTTAGCCTTTGATATTGGCAAGTGCCCTCAGCGTGCCATGTCTCAGCAATTCCTTTTCATCTCCCATGGCCACATGGACCACATTGGAGGACTGCCTATGTATGTTGCGACCCGCGGCCTTTACAGAATGCAACCTCCTACTATTATTGTACCAAAAGTTATCAAAGAAAGTGTTGAGAAGCTTTTTGAAGCTCACCGATCTATGGATCACTCAGAATTGAACCACACTTTGATTGGTTTGGATGTGGGTAAAAATCTTCTTGCATTGATTATATAGCTCACTCAGTTAGTTACTACAGAAATGGAATTAGCTCTTTTTTCACAATTGAAGTGAATGGAGCTTTGTCCATATGCAGGAGAAGAATTCTACTTGAGAAAAGATCTTAAAGTTAGAGCATTTAAGACTTACCATGTCATTCCTAGCCAGGTAAGCACTTTCCCTTAATGATCTGAGTTTTTTACTGCTCATTTCCCCTTACCCCCACTTCTTTTTGGCCAGTCCAAAGTGGATTATGTGAAGTACAAATCTGCTTCGTGCTTTCTGCAAGAGTAAGCTGCTGATATAGTAGGACGCTATGGTTTTTATATTGTCATCTTTATATTTATTAATGGTGTCTAATATGAGGTTTTAATCGGATTGGTTTATTGTACATTGCAGGGTTATACAGTATATTCAGTAAGGCAGAAGCTTAAGCAAGAATATGTTGGGCTTCGGGGAGATGAGATTAAGATGTTGAAGTTATCAGGTGTGGAGGTCTGTCATGATATCATAGTCAAATAGAAATTTTATCCGATTACATTTGTTTCTCAATGTTGGTTTAAATTGAAGCCCAATGTATCATGGATCTTAGAAGCCATTCTTGGTGGATTTCAATTTGTAATGGTTTGAGAAGATCAGTTGTTTGCATTGCTTTCTCAAAAATCTAGAACAGTAATTGCTTTAGAAGAACTGTATTGTGTTTGCAAATCCTTTACATAAACATCCATCTAAATTTTAGACTCTTTTCGCTGTCCAATGGATCTGCCTCTTTTCCATCTTTTTATCCTTTCTGTATATCTTATTGGTTCCGGTAAGCTCCATGATGTAGTAGCCTTTGTTTGCTGGGCTAAAACAACCCAAAAAATTTTGTACAGTGCAAAATAATCATTCTCTTTCCCGTACCAACTAAGGCTAAGATTACCTATTCATTGGGATGACCATGTTTACTTCAAAAACTTTTGGACGCATTTGAGGATTTAATCCTTTTTGCCCTTTATACTCTCAAAACAGTTTGTGTGCAAACATTGAGCAATTTATTTCAGACACAGGTGCAGCATGGTTTAGTACATAACCTTGCACAAGAATGCATTGGCAACAAACTTCCTGGATATCTGATGTATGACATAGATTAACTTTGGATTTTGACAGATTACCTACACAACAATAGCACCTGAAATTGCGTTTACAGGAGATACAATGTCAGACTTCATAAAGGATACTGAAAATGTTGATGTTTTGAGGGCAAAAATCCTCATTATGGAGGTAAATTCCTTGTATTTAACACTTGTTAAAATAATGTACCTTGTCTGTAACATGATGCTCAACTTCTGTGTCTCCTTGCAGTTATTTTTATTTCTCCCTTGGAAGAACTAGTTTGACTTCCGGTCTATATCTAATTTACTTTCTGGACTTTTATTGATATTAGTTGATCCTTCTTAAATTTTAGTAAATGCTGCAGGGACAATGACGTGTGACACTAGGGACTGCTATTTGATCTTTTACGTTCTGTTATTACTTATCTTGTCTCCTTCAACTTTAGACACTTTGCTGAGTTATTTTTAGTAGCTCTCCTGAGCCTTCTTTGCATAATCCAACTATATCTGGAGCATGAATTTATCAACTGATGGAGGACATAGTCAGAGTTGTTACATCTCCTTTTTGGCTGCAAAAGAAAATATTTATATATTAAAGGGAAATATTTCATATCGTAGCATCATTACATATGTAGTTATGCTTTTAGGATAAGTAGTTAAAAAGTCACTGACTAGTATCATTTATCCTTATGATGATGACACAATTGGAGTAAACTTACTAATGTTTTAATAACTTCAGATGGGAGAAGTATCATTCTACTTGCACCAATCCCAAAGAAAAATAAACTCTCTTATGCAAGTTATAGTATCATAGCCGTACAATAAAATTAGCAGTGTTAAGATCTATTGTTCAATTTGCCTTATCAACATTACTGGTTCTCAGACATTTTAATTCTTCGACAGAGCACTTATGTGGAGGACAAAACAACTGCTGATGACGCAAGAGAATATGGACATACTCATCTGTCTGAGGTGGTTCTTTTTGCATAATTTCCTGATATTCCTTTTTATTAACCCGAAGATTTCACTAACACTTGGAAGCTAAAATTCTGAATGTGTTGTAGACTGATTTAGGAGTCTGATATACGATTCTTTATGCTTTGATGACATGCTACCAGATCATCAATTTCGCAGACAAGTTTCAGAACAAAGCAATCATTTTAATCCACTTCTCAGCCCGCTATCAGTTGGATGTAAGCCCCCCCTCTCTCTGTCTGTCTGTCTCTATCTCTTATTTTTGTTTGTAGAAAGCTGGTTTCTATTGAAATGGAATCCAACTGTCTTTAATTTTTTGTCTGGCTTTACTTGTTGGTTGTAACTTTTCACCTTTGTGGTCTTTTCATTCTCTTAAAAAGAACTAATGACAAACCACTTAGTATTGTTGTCATTTGTTTTTCACAACAGTCGTACCTAGGGACAGCGTTTTGGAATCTAAAAGACTATCAGGAAAGAATGGCTTTTTTCATTTTCATGTTCCTAGTGTATACCAATTAATCTTTTTCCCCTAATAAAGAAAGGATCTAATTCTAGGACTAACTTGTTTCTTTCCTTTTGTATCACTCCAACAATTTTTTTCTTATCAGGTTATTCAGCAGGCTATTTCTGCAATACCTCCGCCTTTGGCAGGCAGAGTTTTTGCACTTACTGAAGGTTTTTGACGGAAGGCTCAATCCACGCATCAGCTACTTTAGAATCTCTCCCTTGTGTTTTTTAGACATTTCCTTTTTGTTCACCCTATCGTTTGACTCATTGCACGTAAAGCACTAATAGCGAAGGAAACTTTTGCCATAGAATTTAGCTAGATATTTTTTGCTTATTCCTTGCATTATGTTGGGATTAACACTTTTGGTAGGTAACCAATACTGGCAATTCACCATATCACATGCTATGTCTGTGCCGTAGAACAGAAGCAACCATGGAAAGCATGTTTTACTTTTAGGCGCAAGCTGGGAGTTGTTCTTACTAAAATGATGTTGAAATTAATCTTCAAATTATCTGAAGTCCGTCTGGGAAATTTGAGATCAAATTTAGATCTAACATAATCCTTTCTATAATCTAGTTTACAATTAAGCTGGATCTAGCATAATCTCATCTGTACTGATGGAATTTAATATTATCTGACTCGAATCTCTATTTGAAATATTTTGATATGGATTATTTTTTTTATTTTTTATTTTTGCATGCTAGCACATTAGGTATAAGTAGTGCGACTTTGAAGCAACAAAATTTCGAACGCTTTTAACGAGCCAACTGAATTAACGAATTAAAATTTCGAACATGCCTATGTATGGTATATGGCCTTGAGGTCTTAAAATTAAAATAAATATACAAGTGGAGGAGAAACACAATTGAATTCTAGGCATGAAAAAATCATTTTTGACGTAAGTCATGAATAAGAATTATACAAGCATAACCCAAAATAAGAAAGGTATGTAAACGGTACATGTGTGAATATGAGAATTGCTACAACATATTCTAGCATCCGAACCGACAAAATTGAAATAAAATTTAAAATCAAGATATTAAGTATGAAACTCATTAGTCATAAGGTGTGCGGAAGTCTTAGAAATTAAAAGTGAAAGCTGTCGATTGATGATTAGTACATTTGTTTACAAGGGGAGAGACCATTCCAAATGGATAAAAATTCACAATCTGGTGTAGCACATAGTAATGGTTTTGCGTGGCCCCTGGTTTTGTAACATTTGACTTCCATAAACTGAGTAATATAAACGTAAAATCATACTATAATGCATCCTCGTCATTTTACAGCTATCAAACAACCCCACCACCTGTCTGGATATTTTCACCAGCCCCCAACATATATTCCCATCAAGATTTGCAGCAAAGTATTGGGAGGATCAGCTAACTATAGCTAGGTAGTATACTTGTTATTTCCTGCATGAATATTGGGAGGATTTTGCTAACTAAAAAGAGCCTGTTGACAGGACGACGTTATTCTCATTTATCGAAGAAGATGAAGAAGAAAACGAACAAGGAATCTCAAAGGAGAAAGCTAATTAGAAAGAGATCATCAAAAGAGAAGAATATGGTTCAAAAGTTGTATGATACTTGCAAGGAAGTGTTTGCTAGTGGTAAGGCTGGCTATGTTCCTCCTCCCTCCGACATCCACCGACTAAAGTCGGTACTCGGTATGTATATATATATACTACTTTTGCTTCCTTATAAATTTATCAACATTGAGATCTATGAAAACACAAAACAACAACTTCGTCTCTAACAACTTACCTCTCCATATATTTTACTCCTATCCCTTCTTTCCATTCTCTTGGTCTTTTGGTTGTTCTACTAATATACTTTTTGCTCTACTACGTTTTATTTCCCCATGACCTTCTCTTGTATGACACTTATATTAATGATCTTTCAAATCAAATAGTATATACTTAGAAGAAGGATAACTTGTTGTGACGATTAATTTATATATATGAAATACGTCTTCTTCAGCAAAAACATATGATTTATCTACAAACTGTATATATGGAATTCACAAGCCGTTAATTTCCTCTACTTGCTGACAATCCTTTCTTTCAAAATTTAATTAATTCAGATTTCTCTACGTGACTTAATGAAGCTTGTTACATGCCATAACTAACTTGTACGTACTAACGGCAGATAGTCTGGAACCAAAGGATATCAAGCTTACAGCGCCAAGCTTGGAATTTTCAAGTAGAAATGGAACTGAAGATGAAGCTCCTCTTGTCACCTACATTAAGCTTCACGAATGCAACAAATTTTCGGTATATATATATATA